TCTTGTACTCATTAGTTCAGTTGCTATATATATATATATATATATATATATATATATGTAGAAATTCTATTTTATATTACCAAGCCCAGTATTAACATTCACTTTGTAACATGTGCCCAATGAGCACAATTATTTGGGCGAACGTGGGTCGCATTTTCACTTTTCGATATACAAATAAGTGCGTAATTTCCTTATTGAAGCAGCCGGGCATAAAATGCAATTTTTCACTTTCCCTTTTTCACAGCGGCAACTTCACACACGCACACACAGAGAAAGATGGCAAGGGGGTGTTGGCTCATCGAACACTAATTACAAAGCAACATCAAAATAATTATGGCCACTTCGGGCATAATAACTAAAGAATTTATACCTGCCAGTGGCGGGCAGTTTGACTAGAGATTTGCTCAAATTGCTTTCACATTAAAAACACTCACACATTTCACCCACCAGCAGTAGCTGGTCACCACTGACACCACTGCCACCCTTGGCACCACCAACCTGTGCTGTTCTCTGTGTGGCTATTCCATTTCTCTAAGGCTGATCGGCCTACCTGGCTGCCGGCATTGGCAATTAATACCTTTCACTCTGGCGTCCCGTTTGATGTGCCCTGTCCAGCCTATGTCCAACTCCTAACGCCAGCTCTTGGCTCGACTCTGACTCCGCTCCTGGTCTGCCATTGACCGGCGGTCATTTGTTTATGTCAACGCTTGTGCGCTTGATGCTGCACGGATTAGAAAGTAATCAGTGCCGATAAGAAGCGTCGAGAGTCTCTGGAGACTGTGTGGGTGGCTCTGGTTCTGGAGGTGGCTGTCAGGGACATGCTCAAAACTGCGTGGACGCTCGCAATTTAAATTACAGTGGTGAGGCGGCTGCGACTGACCACCGCCCAGTCCCAGCGCCATTGCTAGCCACTCCTGGATCCCGGGCCAGGCATTGGGCATTTTGCAGTTCGGTTACAAATGTCCATTGGGACTTTGCTAATCTGTCATTCGCCATGATGTGTTCCCGAAGGCGGCCTTTCGTTTGGGGTTGTATAGTGCCGTTGCCCCGTCATACACATGTGCACATACACATACACATACAGCCCGTACACCCACACACCCACTAAGCAAGAGAGACACCAACTGGCAATGAAAAAGGACGAGTGTTCATATAAATGACCAAAATGCCACGCATTGACCCACGCAGAGCCGGAAAACCTCACTCATCCATGCCTTGTTCCCCACATCCTCGCCCGTGGCATCGACGACATGGCAGATAAAATGTTTCAATGTCCAATCGAGTTATTTGTCAAAATACTCGCACCGGATGGACATGGACATCCGCCTGGGCAGGGACACGAGCATTTTGATTTTGCTGCCAGGATGAAATGTTTTTAGCTTTTTGTTTTTGTTGCTGTCGTTGCATATACTATCTGTATGTACTCTGATCAGATTCGATCATATTCGACACAACGCACTATTTAGATTGGATAATAATTTCAATTAAAATTTCTGATTTTCAATCTAAAATATTGATGATAGTTTAATTACAATTTATATCGAAACAAAATGAAGAAAGAGAAAAGAAAGATTTTAGATACTTACTTTTTCATAGCTTAACTCATTTCCATATCTTCTGCAACGAGTTTTTAAAATTAAGTTATTTTTTATTATTATTTACTTAATATTAATTTATCCTAGTTATACTCAAATAATTACATCAAAATTAAATCGAAAATGCTATTTTATATACTCAACGATTTTGATTATTTATTTTTGATTTTCGAAGATTTTTATTTACTCTCATAATCGGTAAATTCTAATGGGAGTATCCCTAATGCTTGGATCTGCACACAAAATAGCTCTTATTTATTGGAATAGAATATGCACCAAGAAAAATATTTACAATATAAAATATAAAAATTTACGAAATTATAGCTTTATATAAATATTTTCTACAATTTATATATAATTTTAGTGATAATTAAATTGGAAATTTCTCAATAAAGCGCTTATTTTCGTCAAAGTTGTGTTAAAACGGGAATAAAAAAAATGTAATTCTTCTATAACTTATAGCTTTAATATAATATATATATAATTTGATCACGATTCGAATGAAGAACATGAATTTGAATTATAACCTTCTAGTGCTGAAAATGCTTTACTATTTCATATATTAATACATTTTAATTACACGCTTCGGTTGATGGGCTAGGCAAATTGCGGGGATATTTTAGATTTGTTCCACGCATCGCTACGTGTATAAAATATAATGAAAGTTTCAACGCCAATGATGACTAACGTCGGTCTGACAGCACTGACGGAATGCTGTCAGACGGTCCGACAGTCTCACTGTCAGTGCGACAGTGTGACAGTCGGATAGATAGAAAGATGGCTGTGAAGGGAGCAGGGCAGCAGGCGCAGCTTGACTGGCGGTCTGTCGGGCCGTCAGCCTGTTGGCCAGGCTGCCTGCAGCGTGCACACTCTGAGTATCCTTTTCGCTTGTTCCAGAGCCTCCCTTATGGGCGTACATGATAAATGGCGACGAATTCGTCAATGTCAAAATCAGACTGTTACAAACAGCGACGGCGACGGCGATGGCGATGGCAGCGCCAGTGCGCAATGTTGCGTAGAGGTAGAGCCCTGGAACTGGCTCTCAATGGGTCTGGGACCAGGACGCGCATCCAGGAATGTATTCAGAAACAGCACAATAACAACAGTTAGATTCATATATGAATACAAACGAACCGTCTGCTCTGTTCTGCTCCTCACGCGTTCCAATGACAATATTTCCTCCGATGCCAATGTCCTGAAGCTGCACGAATTGAAGTCACAGCGTTTTAATATTAATGCAAATTTCTTGTTCTAGTTTTTGCACATTTCGCAGTTTTCACTTATGCAAATTCGCATATTTGGCGTACAAATTTATCTCGCCCCCATTTGGCATTATGGAATATTATTGAGTGCAAATCTCGTTGACTAATTGTTCGACATTTGCCAACAGATCCAGGACGACACATATTAAGCATGCTAAAATTTGATTGATTTGCTTAGAACATTAAATAGTTATGCCAGATCGTTGATCTGATTGATCTTTGAGGCAACTTGCAACTTGTTTACTTATATTTAAAATCATTTTTTGAGTCTCCTGGTGGTCGTATATCAATATCACAAGATGTTCACATGTAAAGTTAAATTAAAATATGAATCCGGAAGATAACGAAGATTTACATTTTATGGTAAGCGCTTAATTTAATTTTGAAACAATTTAAATATAGTAGATAACCTATTAACCAAAATATTTAATTTATTTTTATGTCTACTTAAAAGCAAAGTCACCCGTTTTTTGTATATAAAATAATTGCAATGGAATCTGACCCTTGTCAGCGGATTCCTGAATGACAAAACTTAGAGTTTTTCCTCGAAATGAGGAACCAGTAAAACCTGTTAGCTCTTAGGGACTTTCTTGCAACTTAGGACATGCAAACGAGCCAAATATTAATTAGCTTGTCAACTTTAATTTTTCCCTTTCATTTCGTGGAGACTTACATTTAACAGCTCAATTAATTTGGAGCCAACGTCGCACATGTGAGCGGGACCCAAAGACCGGGCCCAGACTCTGATTTGAGTTATGCGATCCATTGACATTATCTGCGCCGCGCTCGCATGTGACAAGCGGCAACTGATTCATTCTGCGATCGAAGCTGGAGCTATAGCTGCGACTGGGCCAAGGAGGAGACTATCGGTTTCGGAGCCGATAAAGATCTCAAAAGGATCTTGCTGACTGTTTTGTTTTGTCGGCAACAAATGGGCGCCATTACAGCGCGACAACTTTTAGTTGTGGTGAAAACGACTTTAAGTCAGTTTTAAACTGAATAATATTAATTTGCCTGATACAGCGGGTGATCGCAGCCATTAATCAATTAATTAGTTTACCTCTTATACAAAAGGCGACTGTCTCTTTGTCGCCATTGCAATAAAGTGAGACAGTACTACAGAGAAAAAGAAAGATATAGAGAAGCCGAGTAACTGAAATATAATTGTCTTAGGAAGGGCGTAAACGTAAAATGCAAGCACAAACAAAAAAACACAGCAAAACAAATGTAATTAACGATATAAAAAAAAGGTAGGAAACGTTGCTTTGCGGCACTTTTATTAAATTTTTTTTTGTTTTGCTTTTTAATGGCCAGAGAACAAATAAAAGAAAAATGTCGTTCTGATTGACGAATTGCGTGCGTATAATTGTATCTTCCAGATACTTTGTTTACTTGCGCCATATTCGTACAGCGTTCAGTGTGTGGCTTTCGTTTGGTCTCCTCCGCTGGCTCACACTTTAATTGAGCCACAACTGTAGATACGCTCGCACACGAGTGCCACAAACTTTGCGGCTCACGCGACCCACAACAAAATGTCGGATATCTTTGAAGCTATACACAATGGTAAATATAAACTAACTATATATATATATAGATATATAGATACATTTATATTCATATCTATGAGTGTAATTATGCTTTGTATTGCGTGTAGCTGCGAAAACCCATTCATGCGTTGTAATTGAGAGCAAGACGAAAATGAATAAAGAGTGTAGAGATGACTTGTACTTGATTTGGAAAAATCTGCCTGAATCATTAAATTAATGTGTTTCTTGCAAAAAAAATATTATAACCACATCAAACAAACCTTAAGGTTAAAATATTTTTACTTCTGAGCAACCTTCAAGTCCCTTCTCTGGCTCATTTTATTACAGAGCATCATTTATTCTAAACGTAAAGCTATCAAAACTCCCCTATTTAGAAGGAAACATCTTTTGAAACACGGATGATTTTAATTTATAAAAAACTTTGAGCTTTTATATATTTAAACTATTTATAAATCGAATTATAAATTAAGGCACAATTTAAACATATAAAAACTAACATGTTCGGATAATGTTTACTTAACAAATACAAATACACCTACAACAACAGGAATATATAATTCCAATTTATTTAATCGATTTGTCTAAGACATACATTGTTTTGAACATTCATCCGAAAAATAATTTACTATTAAAAACAAATTTTCATTTGCAACGTATTTCATTACCGCCTTAAGCAGTGCACGGGGATATTAAGCAGTGTTCCCAAAAGGTTGCACTGCTTGCTGCCCAGGAAAGTTCTTTATCCGCTGTGGTTTCTGTCTCGGCTGAATGGGTACATAACTGCAAAATGGAATCATGTAAAAGCCGGAAAACGCGAGTTCCAATGGGAATATCTACCCAATTTGCAAAAAATATGCATTGAATGATTTTGATGCTTACCAAATTGGACGCCAGCTGGCGTTTGGTGTACCTATTTGCATGCATATATAAATTTCACATTTCTATATCCCAAATATTATGCCAAACCGAAATAACATCATGCAACGTAACGCTCAGTGCCCGGCATATGTTTTTGGCGGCCTCTTTGACGAGCTCTGTTGCCGCGTTGTGGCCTGTGGAAGATGGTCCGCTCTTGGTTCTGGCTGTGCCCTTAAATCATTTTATGCTGCGCTGATTTTATGTACATATGTTTGATTAAAAATTAAAATTATCATTTACGGCCCATTTAAACTAAACCGACCAGAGATTTTTCGCATGTCGTTCTCATTTTTGAACTAACCAAATATTCTGTGGCAACAGCATGAAACCAAAGCTAGAGGATGCCATATTGTTGTTGTTGCTGCGTGGACTACCTATTGTAAGAATTATTTCAAATGTGTGCTACTAGAAGTTTTATTAATAAACACAATAAGCATATGTATATTTAATAAGTATAACCTCTAAATTGGCCATGTGAATATGAATGAACGCTCTGTGCTTTAAGATAATATGTATTTTCTCATTCAAATGATATAAGGCTTTCTTCAAGTTGGTTTAAAATTGAAATAAGTTTGTTTTGTTTTATATTCATGGATTTCAATTAGCTTACAATTATCGTAGATCGTTCATATCTTCGTGTTTTTCTAATCGCATTTCATTACACACCAGGATTTAAGTCTGCCTTTGTTCCTTAATTTTACCAAATGTTGTCAAGTTATCTACGCCGCTGGACCTCCTATCCTCCTTGTCTTCGGGGAAACAGCGGAATAGTACCAAAAAAAAAAATAATAAGAAAACAAACAAAAATATTGTGACAGTTTTTGAATTCTAGGTCCAGACCTTGACTATCATAAAGTCAGTTTCTACAAAAATCCCTGTAAAAATACTGCTCAGCCCAGATCTGGAACAAACAAAAAATAAAGCACACAAAAAAATGTTTCAGTTCTAGTTTAATTTTGAGAAAACCTCTGTGACCGGAAAAACAAAAAAATGGTAACAGTAATATGCTTGTAGTATAATAAAAAAGATATGCAATAAAAATGTTTTAGAGCGAATTCGCTTTGTGTCGCGCATTTTTGCCATTGTTAAAAAATTGAGCATTTTTTTCGCCGGCGACCTCATTTTTTTCCTCTCATTTTCCATCTAAAATGCAGGGCAGACAAATGTTTTTACGGATTTATGAGTTTATCGCTTTACGACTACGTCTTAGGCCCAATAAAAGTTTATTGAGCTGCCTGACGGTCGCGGCTCGAGTGCTCGAGTTTCCGACCGTAGACCTTATTTGGTAGCCGCGAAAACTGTAGCAGGGCCATGGCCCACATTCCAGCCTCAGTGTGTGCACACAGGACTTGATCCTGATCCTTGGCCGTGCAGAACTCAGTGCGAATCTGTGAATACTCCGACTCAAGGACGTGCCCGGTTATGCAAGTCTATGCAACGGATGGGCTTGCATAATAAATGCAAATATTGGTTTTAAGCCGCCCGCCGAACCCAAATTGCTCTACTTCACATTGTTCAATTGTTTACATAGTTTACAATCAGCAACGCCCACGAGCCGAGTCAATAGAGCGCAGGTCCTTGCACTTCTCTTACACAATATTTCACAATATGCGCCTAAATCCGGGGATTAGTTGGCTGTCTTCCGCCAACAATGATGCCTGTCTGTCGACAGTCGATGCTCTAATTTAAATTACCAGGTCACACTCTCTCTCATCGTCTCTCTATCTCTTTTTCTCTATAGCTCCGAGTGTGCCCGTTCTATGGCTGCTTAAACATTTCCTAAAAACTTACCCAGTTTTTGCCGCAGACTTTTGTTTTGCTAGTTTCGTGCTCGAGTTTAGATATTTATGACACAGCTGAAAGTTCTGCGAATTTTTATTATCATTTAGTTTGCTGTGAATACCTATAGTTATTTTTGTTAAAGATTTGCCAAACCTACCCATGCAAAATAAATAAAAATGAACACCGCAGAGTTCTGGAAATCATCAAAAAGCGTGGCCTACTTCTAACAAAGGCTTTTCGATTCTGGGAATGATAATGTTAACGGGATTATTTTCTCAATCGGGTTGGTTTAATGGAAAATAACAGCAATAATACCTAACAAGAAAGACAAATCCTGACGGGTTTTCAAATATATATGGAGCTTAGTGAAGAAAACATGAAATTTTGTCATGCTAAATCCAATTTTTCGACCTATTCTTTCTATATAATATGCTTCATATGTATATAAACAAGATTTGATGAAGTTATCTCAAAACACAAACGAATTATTTATACAAGAACTTCCCTTTCAACTGATCGTTCTTATGACAGCTATATGATATAGTAGTCTGATCTGGCCCATCAGCAGACTACGACAAGTTTGCATAAAAACAGACAGAAGGACGATCCCATAAGGGAAATATATATTCTTGATCATGAAGAAGAGTTGATCTAGTCATGTTCATCTTTCCGTCTGTCGGTCTATCTCCATCTCGGAAACTACAAATCGTACAGACTTGAAAGTAAACGAGAAAGAAAGGCTATCTTCGGCACGCCGAAGATCTAATACCCTTGCAGACACAACCTTTTCATAATGCTTATAGTGCTTTGCCCGTATCTAAGAAGCACAGTGAAAATAGTTAATGCCGAGTTTAGGCAAGATATCTTGATAAGCAAAATGTCTTTTCATACAACAACTTAATTTTCGACCGATCGTTCCTATGGCAGCTATATGATATAGTGGTCCGATCCAGCTGGTTTTCGCATATGTGCTGCGTGCAACAGAAATAGAGACTTCTGCAAAAATTTCATTAAGATAGCTTTAAAACTGAGAGACTAGTTCGCATAGAAACAGACAGACGGACAGACGGACTTGGCTCTATCGACTGTTGATGCTGATCAAGAATATATATACTTTATGGGGTCGGAGATGTCTCCATCTATGCGTTACACATTTCACGACAAAATTAAAATACCCTCTGCAAGGGTATAATAAAACATATATTATCGTTAAACTTATTATTTATTTCCGCTCGGGTTTTTAAGCATAATTCGAAAGTTTTAAGAGCTAGACGCGTCAAACTTGGTATATAGGCTCTCGTGTAGTACATAGTATAGACATAAAATATTTATCATTATGCATACATATGTCTCCCATTCACTCCTAAATTGAAAAAACTCAACTTCATTTTGGTGTATGCACACTTTTTAATATATTTTATTTAAGCCCTTCAAATTGCATATCACGAACGTATTTATGCATCTGCATTATTTCAAAATTATATTTGTAATTATAATAGTTATAAAACGCAAAGAAACAGTCAGACCTAAAAAAAAATTGTTATATATGAATGAATTGTGGAGTAACTTCTTCTTCAAATACAAATATAATTTTCAATATTACATATTGAGGAGTATATTTAAGGTGAATTTCCTTTTTAGATAAGCTTTACCGGTAATATAAAAAGTATATTCTTTTTTTAGGTTAAACGGCTAAAAATGTGTACTATATTTATATCTTAAGCATTTAACATAGCGTTAGCGGGCGTAAAATGTGTATAGAGTATAAACAGAATCCGTTCGTCTTCGCCTGGTCCGACTGGTCAATCAAGGACTACCTGAGAGACGCGTGTGTCTCGTATTAAAATGATGTCTTGTTGACGGACCTCGAAGGACGAGGCTCGCGCGACTCGACTCGTCTGTTTATGGAATGTAAATGTACCGTGTCATGGGTCCTTAAACATCTTAATTGCGCACGTATCCTTCGCCAGCGACGCGCAATTGGTTTCCAAGGCGGAAATATTATTGCCACGTCGTAAAACTATAAAACTGTCCGCAGGGGGCGAGACGCAGTCCAAACTCAGATGCCCAGTAGAGTCTTCTAGGACACCGAGCCAGCTCTTCTGCAAATGGAACTTGCGATCACCATCAACGAATTCGCTGAATTCAGTCAACGCGCGCGACTCTTATTCCCGGGCGTACGACTCGTCGACGAAATTGCATTGATAACTTACAACGAACTCGTAGGTGGCTCATTGTATTCCATGGCACATTTTAAATAAAAACAATCCTTATTAGCTGTCGCTAGGTGCTGCGATACAAAACTCACACTACGTATTTCCCATTTTAGGCACATTTTAACTAAGGGAAATATTGAAAAATTACAGCCAGATATCAGCATTCTGCAATCTGATAAAAATGTCTGTAATCCTTTATAATTAAAAAAGAATTTTGTAGTTAGTTTAATTTTTCATATATTTTTGAGCGTTCCTCATATTTGTACCCTGAACCCATTAAAAATGCGTATAAGGGTATATTGTATTTGTGCAAAAGCCAAATGTATGTAACAGGCGGAAGGAAGCATCTCCGACCCCATAAAGTATATATATTCTTGATCAGCACCAATAGCCGAGTCGATCTAGCCATGTCCGTCTGTCTGTCCGTCCGTCCGTCCGTCCGTATGTATGAACGCAAGGATCTCAGAACCTATAAGAGCTAAAGACTTGAAATTTTAGATGTAGATGCTCCTAGTTCCCGCCCAGATCGAGTTTGTTAATCGATAACTTACTCCGTTTCCAAGCAATCGATAATCGATGTCGATATCGATATCCTGTTTTTTTTTTAGCAAAAAATAATAATAGATAAATGAAATTGTATAGTATTAATCGATACCTTCCGTGGTTGCTATATGACAACATTATCCAATACTGCGGAAGCATATGCATCTAGAAACGAGAAAAAAGAGCTATCTTTGGCACGCCGTAGATTTAATACCCTTGCAGAGCGAACCATTTCATTATGCTCATTATGTTTTGCTTATATCTAAGAAGCACAGGGAAAATAGTTAATGGCGACAATAGTTATGTTATCTAGAAAAGAAAAAAGTTTTCCATACAATAAAGTTTTTCAAAATTATAACACTCTTTCTATTTAAAGTTTCTTCGAGAGACAACGGACAGTTCATTCTAATCATGAAGGTCGAAAAAGTCCTCTTTCTATAAGCATTTTTATAATTCCAGGCAGGCAGTAGGGTAAAAACCCATCGAATTACATCTGCACTGACAGTATTTAAGTACACTTCACAAGAGTACGCCAATAATAATAAGTAATAAATATTATAAAGTAATTTAAAACTATAAATCTGTAATTTTTGCGCATATCAAGATGTTGCCATTACCACACAGAAGGTGTTATCACTGTCGATTGATTGTCACACAATTTATTTAGGGTCATAAAAAAGTACAAAGCGAGAGCTCACTGTAAATGCATAATTCATTCCATTGCAGCTACTTTACGAGGACCTCATTACGATGAGAGCGAAACAATGCGAATAAGTGTGACAGAAGCAATTAATGCGCTAAGGAAATGTCAACACGGAGGATGACATTGCAGGCAGGATGACATTGAGCGCAAATATCCTAACGACAGCCAAATAAAGAGAACAGAAGCCGGCGACGACGACGACGACGACAGCAACGATGAGCCAAGGACGCAAGCGACGCGTGACGCATTGAGAGAATGTTTGTACACACAGCATAATAAGGAGAACAGCCGAGAGGTCCTTGGCAGTTGCCTTGACTTTGATTGGTGCCGTGCTCCGATCGTGATTATCCAAGGCCAGCACACCCACGCTGGCTTTTCCTATTCGCTCATTCAGCATCGAAGCGAGTGACCTTGACAGGACTTTGGATCAAGGCCAGTGAAATTGTCCTGAAGCCGAATGAGGCATGCCAAATGTGGCAGCAGCCCAGGCAAACGAGTAGCCAAAGCTGAAAATTACTTCATCTGGCCAGGGAGCGTTGCTGGCCAACACCTGCAGCGCCTGGGCCTGGATATAAATGAATATTCACAACCCAAATCGAGACGTGTGCATCTTAATTGCTAAATCAAACAAATTTTAGGAAAACAATAATTTTGCCTCTCTTTTTACAAATTAGCCGTCGATTGAGGCAATCAAATTGATGGCATTTCAACGGGTTGGGATTGGTCCAAGTTTTTCGATTGGGGTTCGATTCGTTATACGGCGAAAAGCTCACGCTGTGCTCAGATTAGACGCTCTGACGCTTATACTATATATAAATCTGACTCCTAAAGTGTACAACACCTCAATATGCATGTACTTTAATACCCTTACATAGGGTATTTTCATAATATCACAAACTATCTAACGCTTTAAAGACAGCATCGGAGTAGCAGCAGTCTATACATAAATTTGTTATATTTAAAATACTTATTAAGTTAAACTTTGCACAGATCCTTCCTTTTGATGTTGGCAGTATCTATGCGGCCGAATTGGATATCTATATCATATAGTCCTAGGACTCCAGTCTGTAAAAAACATTTTTTATTATAGTGTATGTTGTTGATGAAATCTTAATTAAACTTTGCAATAAGAAATCGTGCTATTCCCAACTTTACATCTGTATACTAATTATGAGAATATCATAAAGCTCCCATAGAAGCAATCTGTTGAATACAAAGTTGTATGAAGAAATACTACATAGACAATCCATGCAGGCCTAAGTTCTAAATGATACGTCTGTAAGGGTATTACAGCTTCGGTAGCACGAAGATAGCTTTTTCTTCGTGTTGTTTGTTTTGTTGTTGCTGCTGATAATTTTTCTCAGCTATTTTCGTTTTATACGCAGCTTGACGCCGCATGTTTCGGTCTGATAATGAGTGGCGATGTTGTCGATTGTTGTAGTTGTTATTGTTGTTGTTATTGTTGCCGCACAATTAGCATTTGGGGACGGCGTAATGAGCACTGAACTATCTACGACTCCCAGAGGAGGGCCAAGCAGCAAAATTCAACTTCAAAGCCACAGCATGTGACCCTCGGCCGAGTAAACGAAGCCAGACAAATAAACAAACAAACAATCGCACGATTTGGAGTATCTTAAGCGATACTTATGTAATGCTCCAACAGAGAGGGGCGCAAACAGATTTCCAATTTGTAATATTATGTGAAATCCTTTGAAGTTTTTTTTTTCTAGAATTTGTGTGAACTTTTTATCGGAATTGTACACCTAAGAGCTAGATATATCTTCATTATCTGCAGTATTATATGATAATTATTAAAATATCCCTTGGCGCAGCTGATGATATTAACAGCTCATCGCTGGGTATTAACACATTCGCCTACTTCAGGCGCGTGCCTGTTTTACCTTTCCTTTACGTGTATATATACATTCAATGTCCAGATTATATGCCGCATCTCGACTGAGCTAACCCTCATGAAAGTGCAAGGAAAGGGGATGTGCCGTTGGACTGCAGCGGGCAGCGTTCAGGATGGGGTACATACACACACACACAATGGGATGGTCCCGATTCCACTGTCAAGGTAATTTATTAATTCGGCAATAAAAACGCGCGAAACGCTCGTCCCCTGGCTACGGGGTGTGTTGCGGTTGAAACACTCGCATGTGGGCCTTACAACTCAATTATTGTTGCCAAAAGTTGACTTCGGCTCGCAATCGGATTTAGCAGCATTTCGTTGCGTTATTCCAAGTATTTCATTGCGATTATCTAATCAGTTGTGTGATAAAAGTCAATCGCCCAGAAACGAAACGTTGAGTGTCTGCGGTGGCTACAAATTTAAACTGCACCTGATACGAAAATCCGATAAAATATGGGAAACGAACGAAGATTTGGTCAAGTCATTTGACAAACTGACGAATTGCTCAAAGAGATTTACTAAGCCCATATGTAAAGCTGGCAGATGGGCAAACTAAACTATGCAAAATCTTTTATATTTTACACACAGTTAATTTTAAATAAATTTTGATGATGCGAGCGCTTAAATTTAGGTTTTTATGTAAACTATATTAATTATATAGGTGATGAGATGAAGTATTTATAAATCAGAAAACGGTTATTAATCTGTCATCTTACTGTCACAGAATTATTTCCTGAGATAAATTTGAAAATTATATTACGCTTTAAAAAATATTTTACAAATATATAAACCATATTCACACTCTTTTTATACCCTGAACCCATCAAAAATGGGTATAAGGGTATTTTGTATTTGTGCAAAAGCCAAATGTATGTAATAGGCAGAAGGAAGCATCTCCGACCCCATTAGGTATATATATTCTTGATCAGTATTAATAGCCGAGTCGATCTAGCCATGTCCGTCTGTCCGTCCGTCCGTCCGTATGTATGAACGCAAGGATCTCAGAACCTTTAAGATCTAGAGACTTGAAATTAGATATAGATGCTCCTAGTTTCCGCGCAGATCGAGTTTGTTTCCGATAATCGATAACTTACTCCGTTTCCAAGCAATCGATAAAAATCAATATCGATATCCTGTTTTTTGGGCAATTTTGGTAAATAATTAGAGCTAGAGTCACCAAACTTGACATATAGCTTTTAAAATATTTAAAATAGAATATTATATGCATTTGATGTTGGAAGAAGAGGGTTCAGGGTATTCCCTAATCGGGAGCTCCCGTCTAGAACCTCTTACTTACTTTTACATTGTTTTTAAAAAAAAATCTTCAAAAAAATTTAATAATATATTTTATTAATTTACTTCCCTCAGATGAGAAGACTAGCTCAGGGATTCAAAACAGATCTTTTATTATTATTACCATGGCATAATAGTAAATTTCTTAGTTCGCTATTCAAGTTATCTTAAAAAGGTAAAAAAAGCTTTGTTTTTGACCAACAGTTTCTTTGAAATAGAAATTTGTTCCACACGACACCTACATTTGAGTATACCGCCTGAAGCAAAATATAGATTACGTCAAGTTTAATTAGATATAGATCAAATTTCTTAATCATCTTTCTGAAACGCTATCTAAAAAATGTAGTTGAAGATAAATGTAAGAAAATCAACATGGCTGATATATTCTTTACCAATGTCCTTTCGCAACACACATGAATACCGCGCGATTTATTCGAGTATTTGTTGCAAACATCGATGCCCTATCTATAGAGCCGAAAGTGTTTATAGCAGGGTCCTGTACGCTAGAAAGTGGGTTGTCGTGGGTCGTGGGTCGCGCTCGCCCGAGCAGCGGCCTGTCAAACTGAAAAACGCCATAAATTTTGGCCCGGCTGTCACCGAACGTGCGCTCTGCAGCAACAATAACAAAAGGAGAGGTAAAGCAAATGTCGAAGGCGAGCGGAGCGGAGCGTAGCTTGGGCAGGGACATGGGCAGGGGCCGGGGGTAGCCGCACAATTCGCACATGCACAAACTGCACACATATGCCATTCAATTTATAGATATCGGCTGATAAGGGTGCGGAGGGTGGGCCTTAGATCAGAGTCGGGGGTGGCTGTAGCTGCTCCGGCCACTGCCTGTGCTGATTGCACTGTTGCTGGCTAAGCGGATAACAAAGTCGAGTAAACTCGCCTTTTGGCCAGTCAATTTAGCTGAGCGGCTTACGGGTCAGCTATGCAAATATGCGCAAGAGTCCTCGAGGACACTTGCCTAGGCCGCAAGGAAACCCTCGCGAGCAAACAAAAAGCGCAACACGCGACGCAACAAAGGATCACTGAAGATGGCAACGGGCTGTCAGAATGGGATTGGAAATGGGTACGGAGCACGCGCAATATTATCCTTTCGCAGCCTTCCCGCCCTTGCCTTGATACACGCAACCAGTTCCAACTCTAAGGCTTCTATCAATCCATGCTATCCGCGCTGAAGCGAATACCTTGACGATTCCTAGAACGAATGGCAGCAGCTACGATACAGGCCGGAGAAATTTTTACGAATTTGCTGCTGCCGCGCGGCGACAATAAACGGGCCACAAGGAAAAGCCTTTTGTGCCAACCGTTTTAGCAAACGTTTACAGTTTACAGTTCTGTTTATGTCTTTATGATTATTGCAATTAGAGGAAAGCAGCAAAACATCACCCATCCCGCTCACCCACCTACCCGAGGCTCGACTTAATTATGCGCCCGTGGGACGTCCTGCGCACGTCTCAAGGCAACTCAAGGACACGGTCCGCGTAGGGGAAACGCTAGAGCGCGGATAACTTGCTGCAACTCGCGATGATAATGGGCGCGATGGGTAGGTAATAAGCTGCGCAGCAGGTAGGCCGGCCATGAGAATTCGCTACTCGGTCGGATAAAACGTTGCCCGGCCGGATAAGCGCTGCCCTACCCCTGCCAGCAATAAATCTGGCTAGGTCCTGGTCGGAGGGGTAGTGCACGCAGCATGTGTCAAAGTGTCATGCGCAGGGATATTTATGCGCTATGACGAGGAGCGCGTGTGCCGTCCGCAGTCCGCAGTTCCACGACTCTGGCTATATTAAGGCAGGATCAGAGCAGAGCAGCTCATTCGCAAACGCAGCAGCGCCGCGCACACATCGTTCATTCTGCTCAGAGGACATAAGACACAAACGCAATGGCAGCCACCAATACGCACAGCCACAGCTACTATGCCGATAGCATGTACAACATGTATCATCACGCCCTGCCACCCACATACTACAATAACACCAGCAGCGGTAGCAGCAGCTACTACCAGAGCAACTCCATGGCTGCCACAGCTAGCTGGCAGCCGGCGAGCTACCAGGCAGGCAGCTACGCACAGTACGGCCCGGAGAGCTACAGCGAGAGCTGCTACTACGCCAACTACCAGCAGACTGCCCTGCCACAGCCCGAACCCGCTGCAGTGCCTCATTACCAGCCGACAGCAGTCGCTGAGCCCTTAACCAAAGCCAACTCGCCCGCGCCTGTTAAGAGCCGCAAGCGCAAGGCAGAGGAATCCGCTGCCGATATCATTGCCGCCGTGGAGGAGCGTCCCAGCACACTGCGCGCCCTGCTCACCAATCCCGTGAAGAAACTGAAGTACACGCCCGATTATTTCTACACGACAATCGAGCCCGTTAAGAAGCCCAGCAAGAGCATCTCCGCCGGTGAGCTGTCGCCCTGCTATGAGCAGGACTATGCCGTACCCACGCCCTCCACACAGCAGACGCACATGTCGCCGCAGCGCAGCACCAGCGAGGATGTAGACTATCTGGACGTCTACTCGCCGCACAAGCAGGCCAAGCATGGCGACTTTGTTGCAACGCCGCCGGCTGCCACCACGCCCGCGACGCCCGCCTCCCTGGTCGATGGCATTGGCATCAGCACGCCACCCCAGTCGCCGGCCGAGAAGTCAAATGAAATCAATCATCGCATTGTGACAGCTGCCACGGGCAACAACGAATTTAATTGGTCGCACATTGAGGAGACTCTCGCATCAGGTAGGCATCGCACTCCCACCACCCTCTCTCTCTCTCTCTCAATCACTCTCTCAGTCACACACTCTCCCTCATTTACAACTCTCGTACTTACTTTCTGCTTTTTATCTCGGACTTTTTGCAGATTGTAAAGACTCTAAACGCACTAGGCAAACCTACTCCCGCTACCAGACGCTGGAGCTGGAGAAGGAGTTTCACTTCAATCGATATATCACACGCCGCCGCCGCATGGACATTGCACATGCGCTCAACCTGAGCGAGCGCCAGATCAAGATCTGGTTCCAGAATCGACGCATGAAATCCAAAAAGGATCGCACTCTGGAAGCCTCACCCGAGCACTGCACCAACGCCGGCTACGGTTCGCTGTTGCCGCCACTGGATGTTACCACTGTGCCGCCACAGCCACAGCCACAGTCGCATCCACAGGCTGCTGCCATGCCCTATGCCGCCTATCCCGCTTACTTGCCCGCCACACAGCAGAGCTATGATTACCCGCAGCAGTCGCCGCCGCTGCCACTACCGCCGCACTTTGGCCAACAGTACGACGCGCAGTACACACCGCAATATCATCAACAGACGCAGCAGCAGTGCAGCTACCAACAACAACAGCAACAGCAGGAGCTGAGCACCTCCAACCAGGCGCTGTATCATCTGCCGTTGCCCTAAGTTAGCCCGCACACACACACTGAAACACACACACTGAGACACACACACACAACCGGAACAAACGCGCCACAAATTCTCGACCATTTGCCGGTGACACGCAAATGTGTAACGAGATGCTGCGCAGTCGCAGTCGCTGCACCGCGCACTCCCTACGGTGCCCAGAACACAAGGATAGGACGAGTGCGCATGTGCATAGGCCGAGGCCGAAACCGAGACCGAGACCGAGGCCGAAGCAACTCCTCGATAACCTCTGATACCTCAAAACCCAGTGGCTGGCCATGGGTTACCCGTTGTCTGTTGCCTGGAGCGCTCGATTATCATCGAGCCCAGGGACTGTGGCCGGGCATCGATAATGCAACACATCCTCAACTTGGAGACTGATTAAAGTTTTGTTTCTATTGTACAGCTAATATATATAAATCGATTACATTAGTCATATTTATTAAAATATATATTCAAAGTACTTGTACTTGATCGAATTTATCAAAAAGACTGCGCGTTTTTCTTACGAGTTCTTTGATTCAAAATACTCAAATAGATGAATTAAGATTAAATAAATAATTAATTATTTGTCTTCAGAAAATATATGGAGATTATTTAATTATATTTCATTTATATAATTATATCTCATACCATTTGTGAAGCAAAAGGAAAAGATAAATTATGATTTAATAAATAATAGTTGATTTATTTAATTTTCATTTGTGTCTAAAGTGTGTAGGATTCAAATCCAAATTATATAGGAAATAAATAAAGATTATTTCAAAATAAATAAAATGTATTAAAAAAACGTTAGTTGTTAATATTTAATCTTACACTGTCCTTTATATCTAATATATTTTCGAAAGTTCCTAAAATTATTATTACCTGTTATATTCATTTTCTCAATTTCCGAAAATTCGTTAATACACAATTTAAAATTCGAAAAAATTGTATGCATACACTCGATTTTTAGGTATTTTGATTAAGCACCGATTTTTGTCGCTGGCTCCATTAATTGTTAGACAAATTTCTTTTTTGGAATTTTGGATCATTAAGAACCCTCCACAACCACCCAAAATTGTCACGCTTAAGCCAGTAGACAAACGTTTTTGATATCAACTCTAAATTTGAGCAGCTGCAATTTGATGCTCCCCTCGCCCTTTCGTTGACGACTTTTCTATAAAATGCACTATTTTCGCAATGGAAAAATGTCACATTTTGGTCGGTTTGGGTGTTTTTCAGTCAGGAATTGGCTGCCAACCACCACCGCCAGCAAGAGGAAGCGCCTTTCGCTGTTTGCTCATCTATTGAAGTGAGACATTGACTGGTCATTTTTCATTGCTCTCCTTGACAGTTATCGGTAACGCAACCGAGGAACCATGTGCCGTCGCAGTTGCCGGGCGGCATTTATACGACTCATTAGATGAAAGTGGACAGTGGATAGCAGCAACTATGGGTAGCTGGCAAGTTAGCCAGGGATAACTTTCCACAAGCGTTCAGATGTAGAATCGATCTACCAAAAACTGAACGAAAACGTTTTCCTCATTTACATCGGCTCAGCTGACAAAGGAGTTAGGAGCCTAAGCAAAATATTCAATATGAACTACAAATCCAGGTTTTTATCGGTTCGACATTAACGTTTATTTCATATATATGAAGTGAGAAGAAATGTTGCTCATATTGCATTAACTTTAGGCAGATAATTTCCTTGGCAGCTGAATAATTTGATGTAACATAGTATTCGAAGTACAAAAGCTTGGCAAAAGTGTTATTAGATGTGTTATTGAAGGTTGTGATTAGTGAGTTTACGTTGATTATACTTGAATTGAAATTTTAGTTTTTTAGAATGTTAGAACAACTAATTTTAGAAATCAATTCATGAAACAATATAAAATAAAAAATGCCCAAACTACCAACTTCATTTCTATGACAGTTGGACTATAGGTACTATAATAGGCTAATGTTAATAAGTTTTGGCAAAAGTGTTTTGATTTATCATACTTGAACTCGAATTTGTAGTTTTTGGCACTCTTATGTCGATGAGATTTTGCCTTTAAAGTTGATAAGAAATGGTAAATTTCTCTAAAACTGGGAATTAATTCCTCAAAAGAAACAAAAATAGTTAAAATAAATTAAAATCAATTTGGCTTTTTTAAGAATCTGTAGTGATCATAATACTCTCTTTAGGCACTTGAAATATAATTAGATATTAAATTCCCTTAGCATAACAAATCTTAAGCTAATTCCCTAGGATAGTTTATGCATCTTCTTAATTTCCATTTATGTTTTGCAAAACAGTTCTACGAGTTACTAAAAAAATTAAATATTTATTTAAATTCCTGTCTAAAATGAACAAAAAAAACATTTCCTAGATTCTTGTCTAACATTAAGTCTGAAGCTATTGTCTTAAAATTTTGTAGAAATTTGCCAAGAGTCAGTTTTGTGGATTGTTCAGATTTTTACAACTTCTTGGTGAGTGGTAAAAGGTTTACGTGCAAGTTGCGAAAGAGTTACGTTAACTCTTCGACGTCCTTCGGGGAAGTAGAGCCGTTTCATTTGCTTTTCGTTTTATTGAAAACCCAAAGGTCGCTTTTAACTCATTCGCGAACCATAAAACCCGCAGTCGGACGAATTGGCAAGGCGACCTAGGCAAGTATCTGAAGATTCGCGGAAAACTTCATTGTGGGCGTTAGCGTCTGACGATGCAGACGAGACTGCAGTCAAGGCTGCAAAGTCAATCCTTTAGCGTAATCCTTTAAATAGTCAAAATAAAGCCCGCCTTTGTCAAAACAATTGTGCAGAACTGGTCACTCCTTTGGCCATCGTCGGATTTGCAGTGCGAATAGGCGTTCTATTGTGTCCACTTAGCCGGACACGGTACCTGCCTCTGCGCGAATAACGATCGTAAAATTATCCTTTCGCAAGCACGAGCAAGCGCAGCCGCCTTAGGACGACCGTCTACTGGGCGAAGGAGTTACAAAGTCATAAAAACAAAACACCTTTGTCGCAGCATTGTCGGTTGGCGAATTATCCCTTCTGCGCCGCTGCCGTATCCTTAATCCGCATCCACCGTACGCTTGCAGCCAATCCGCAGACAGATTCGCAAATGACTGACGTACGGAGTAGAAGAGGTGCTGACCTCTTAGCTGGAAGGGATTAAATTACATTATCCTTATGTTTAAGATAAACACAAACAGCAGAACTCTCTGATCTCGGATGTGGCATGGCTTAAATTAACGTTCGCCATGACGATAAATTGGCCTGTTATAAAGTCAATGTTAATGGTCCCAAATCTGTGTCTGTTTACTAAACTACCTAATCGTATGTTTTCATTAAATTTTATGATTTACCTTAGAATTAAGTTAAGTTAAGGAGATTAGAAGTTACTTGTAGGCAAAGCTAACCTTCATTGGGCTTTCGAGGATTGGGCCCGCTAATCCATCTTAGGAGCTTAAAAAGTGCTGAAGCTTAAAATTGTGTAAAATTGTTGTATAAATTTGTGACGAAAGAAGGAAATACATTTATATAATATATCATGAAAGTTAGCTGCTCTTGTAAAAATTGTGGAATAAAAATAGTATTAATAGTATAAAGTCGTTTTCCTATTTACATAAATAATGAGAAAGTAAGGTTATCTTCGGCACGCCGAATATATTTCCCTTGTGCAGATATGCGAGAACAGTCATAAATGGTGAGCTAAATGAAAATATCTTGGAAAATTGAATAAGTTGCCTTACAAGACATTACTTGCTTAGCGATCGTTGCTATGACAGCTATATGATATAGTGACCAGACGGCTCCGACATATGTAATGCCCGCAACTGAATGCAAAGAAGGACCTAAGAAAAGTTTCATTACAAACAGACGGATGGATGATGCTATCGAAGTTCTTGTAGGGTCGAAGATGTCTTCTTCTAAACGTAACAAATTGCATGACAATTGTATAATAGCCTCTACAAGGGTATTAAAACGAGAAAATAAATATAATATTGTTGTTATTAAGTACAAACGAGTCTAGCCTGGGGCTCGAGCCTGAGCTCGAACTATCGAGAATAGTGAAAACTATCTTGGTCGGACAGCGTCCGTCGGTTGAATAATATAGTTTTATTAAAATTTCAGATTTTAAGCTTTTAAACGCATTTTTGTCTGCTCAAGAGGGGTGTCTGCTCGTTAAAGGGACAATGGTTGTTAAAGAAAATGATTTGTCCCCCAATAGGTGTATCTAATGGTAATGTTTCACTGTATTCTATATTTCAATAGACCAAAAATACAGTTCCTGAACAGTTATGCTTAGTTCCTGAGCTCTTGTACATGCGAAATGAATTTTACATTCCCACAGTCTATGTCAACATTTGCTACAGCAACAGGTTTCCTTAAGCCAAACACCGAGGCGATATGATAATTATCCGCACACCCGCTTGAATTAAGCGTGTGCCCGTGGGGAGGTCACAGCTGCGGCTGTGCCCTTTGTTGTGATTACCACGTTCGACGCTATATTTATGGCGCTCGAGAGCCAATTAATTGTGACCCAAATCAACAGTTTTTCGAATGGTTGGCAACACCAGTGCGCCAGCTCTCGGCCAGCTCTAATGGCCCGGCAAATGTGGCCGATCGCCATCAGGGCAAAGCGCAGAGCGTGTGAGCTGTTCAGGCACACAGGCGATGGCGCTGACTGCTCGAGCTACACATGAGTTATGGCCAAAGCGGACAAATGTCGCTTTAAATGCTCCATTGGCATGCATAAATTTCGATTTACAAGCCCCGTCGCGATGCGTTGTTCCACAGAATACCCGGCTCATCCCCCAGTGCCAGATGAAATCAGCGCCAAAAGCCTCCGATCTACGAGTAAGCGGTTCGGCGATTCAGCGATTCAAAGGTTCAACGAGTGGCCAACGCGTTGGCGGCTAGATCAGTACCCCAAAGCCGCCAACTACCGAGCCGATCCACCAACTAGCCAAAACATTAATATGTTAATGCGCGGATCGGGCCACGGCCGGGCGGCGGCGGGACGGTGGCTA